TTCTGGGAGTTGAAGTCCACTCATCTTAAAGTGGCCAAGTTTGGACAACACTGTGCTAGGTCTTCCCTCACAAAAAGGGAAAATGCAACAGGTGGTACAAAGAAGGCTATTAACTCAATGGAAAAGTACATGCCATGTAAGCAGAAAATCCCAAATTCAGTCTGCAATTACAGAAACTGAAGACTGCAGCCAAGCAGCTTTACCAGTCAGAGGTAAAGATTTTCAGATTTGGGAACATACATCTGGGGATTTACTTTTATATTTTTTCCATGTGATTGTCTGGAAGCCTGACCCACAAACTCTGCTTTCTTGGACTAAAGCATCTTCATATATAATGGCTTTAAGTCTGCAGTCACTGATCTCTCCATTCCAGTTACACAACCACCCAGTTTTTCATTCTGAAAAAGCCATAGCCCATGTGTGTGCACACACACAGACACACACACACACACTCACAAGCTGCTGGAAGAAAGTACTGGGATAAGAATCTTTTGTCAAAAAGCAACAGTGCTTGTTATCTGCTTCTTCGTTCACATTTACCAAAGCAAGAGGAGACTGCGAATTACAAATGGGAAAGGCATTTCTTCCTTTCTTCCTGACATTCAGACAACGCACCACGATAAATGGCATTTTGCAATCCAGTCTGTAATCAGAACCGTTCATTAAAAAGAAATCTATGATTGAACTACTGCAGCAAAACAAAAAAACCTCCATTCAGGCTCCTAAGACTTTTCATTTTTTTCTCTCCGAAAAAGGGTCTCACGTTTCAAGTTCTGATGTTTTTTTGAGGTACGCCTAAGGATGTGAGGTAGATGTTAAGGAAATTGTTAGGGCCTGAAGGGGTTGACAAACAGTATTTCCAGCATTTACTGGTAACAGTTCAGTGTTCCTTGATTCACCGTATCTAGTGGCAGAATGAACTATTAAACAAAAACAAGTGAAACTAAGCGCATTTGCATGATGTATGCAAGGTGCAAAATTCAACTCTGCTTCTTGCAGAATTTTTGTCCCCTTGGTTCCTACACCACTATTTCAGGCCTTATCCACAAGTGCAACTTTTCCCAGATCAGGGAACAAAAGTACCCTTTAAGTGGTGTGCTTGAGAGCACATTTCAAGAAATATGTGCCCATTTTATTTCACTGAATGTAAATGTGAAGAGTTAATGAGACATAGCTAATATGATTACTCCCATGAACATAACAGTGTTTCAGTTCTCGTGGCCAATGTGATTTAGAGCTCAAGCAAGGATGGCCAGTTTTCCGATTCCTGAAAAGAGACAATTAGCTACTATCCGCTGCTATAAATGTTTGTTTCAGGCTTTTATATGCAATAACCTCAAATTCTGACCTGCAGTCAGTGGTATCCTTGGGCAAAGTGCCCATCTATACCCACTTGGCTCCTTCCAAGGACACGAAGTTTATCGTATCATATGATCCCAGGTCCCTAGCTGTCACATCTTGGCTTAGGAATCCAAGCTTGTTGAGGTGCAACAAGAAAGAATGTAGATTCTGTGTGTGTGTGTGTGTGTGTGTGTGTGTGTACACGTGTGGGCATGTATGTCTACTTCTGGCACCTCACTCCCAGTCTGCAAATGGATTCTTCTTCACAACAGTGGCTTAAGACTCATGAATTAGGATTTCACTTCTGAAATAAAAGGACTGAGTTCATACCACTGAAACTTTTTAAAGTACAGGGTCAGGAATCAGAAGCCAAAAGAAGGGAATACAATCCAGGTGTGGCACACGAGGCTACAGCTACTCGGAGAACGAGACCAAATCAAGGAGGCTCGCTGTCAGACAAATTGTAGAACCACAGAAGAATCACAGGAAAATTTAGAGAAAGAGCCATCTGCACAAAATTTGGGTTGGGGAGCCCTGAGTTTCGAAAGGGGAGGTTTCATTAAAAAAAAAGAAATGAGTAGTTTTGCCCCTTGAGCAGAACTCATGACTAGATGCATGTTTAAGCATTTGCCCCTGTGTTTTTCTGATTTTTTTTTTTAACTTCCCAGACTTGTCTATAGCCCTGAGTTTTTCAAAACACACTTCCTATAATTGAATAAAGGTCAGGCCCCAGGAGCACAATGCAAAAGCCTGCAGACAGGACTTAGGTTCAAATTTTGTGTCAAGGGGTGACAGTTTTTGCTTGGGTCAGTCTGCTGGTATATACCCACGTATAAGCCAAGAATTTTTGGCTCCAAAATGCACCCTAAAAATCAGCTTCAACTTATCTGTGGACCAGAGCTCAGATTTAAAAAAAAAAAAATCATGGGCTTTAAATGACATAAAAGTTTGTGATTTCCTGCCTTTCGCTGCACACATTTCCGGTAGGTAGATAATCACCATGTCTGGATATCACCAACAGTTAGCATAAGATGCAGCTTTCAAGCTAAAAGTATGCTAGTACTTTTAGTAGAGCAGAGGAGACGAACAATTCTGTGGCTGCCATAAAACTTGAGGTAAGTGAACAGATTCTGTTTTTCTGTTTTTTAATAATATATTAAATATATAAGCAGTATTTTGGTTGCAATTTCACAGGTCGGCTTATCTGCAAGAATACCCAGCAATGCACACTGTTGCCTAAAAAAGGATCTCTAGGATCCTTCCATCCAGCCCTAAAGTTGGATCTGCCCCACCCATCTCAGATTCCACAAGGAGGCCTTCTCATGTAGGGATGGGACAGGAGGAATAAAACGTATTGGTGTTTGTGTGAAGGCCCCCACAGCCCTGTCCAGCTTCCCCCCTTCCTTGCAGGATCAGAGCGCAAGGTGAGTTCGCTGGTGTTTGGAGAAAGCTGAACTCCAGCGGAACGATTTCCCGCAAGTCCCACAGACATATGGGTGGGTCCCAGCATGCTGGTGCTGGTGTTCAGCCAGGTTGCCCCGTTGCCGGAAGCTCTTGCCACAGTCAGGGCAGCAGTAGGGCCTTTCAGCTGTATGAACCCGCCGGTGCTTGACCAGGTGGGAATTTTGGGTGAAGGATTTGCCGCAGGAGGCACAGACATAGGGCCTCTCGCCCGTGTGGGTCCTCTGGTGCTGAATGAGGTTGGAGCTCTGGCGGAAGCCCTTACCACATTCAGTGCACCGAAAGGGACGGGCCCCTGTGTGGGTAGCCTGATGTTTGGCTAAGTAGGAGCCCAGGGCAAAGGCTTTGCCACAGATGGCACAGCAGTGGGCCTTGCCAGGGGCATGGGTGCGCCGATGCTCAGCCAGATTGGAGCTCTGACTGAAGATTTTGCCACATTCAGGGCACTTGAACGGCTTCTCGCCAGTGTGCGTCACCTGATGCCGCAAGAGCTTTGAGCTCTGGGCAAAGCTCTTGCCACACTCAGGGCATTTATAGGGACGTTCGGCTGGGTGGCAGTTACGCCGGTGTTCAGTCAACTGGCAGTGCCATGTAAAGGTCTCACCACATGGAGGACACTGGGCAGGTGGGTCACGTTGGTGCTGCTGTAGCCCTGAAAGCAGAACAAAGCCCTTCCCACACGCAGGACACCGGAAGGGTCTCTCCTCACCCAAATGGCGCTGTTGGTGCCTTCCCAATTTGCCACTGTCAGGAAAGCGTTCACCACATGTTGGGCAACGGTAGGCATCATCATCAGACATGTGGATACGTTCATGCGCTGCCAATGTGGCAAAGAGGGCAAAGGTTTTGCCACACGCTGAACAGGAGTATGGCTTGTCCAAGATAGGTTCTGCTGGGTGGCCCAACTGGTGAACAAGAAGTTCTGAGTGATGAAGAAACATTTCTTCACACTGATGGGATTCTGCATTTCCCCCATGGTTCACTTTTTGCGTCAAGAGAGCCGCATCATGAGGGAAGTGAGCACTGACAACAGGACATTTAGTAACCATATATTCCTCTGGTTCCTCATCACCATGACTTCCCTGATGAAGCAGTAGCTCATCATCCTCAACAAATGTCTTCCCGCACTGGGGACAGCTATAGGATTCCACATCCTGCTGGATTCTCTGGTGTGTAGCTAAAGCAGCGGTTTCTGCAAAGGAAGCCTTACACTTCAAACACTTAAAGGATTTCTCCTCCCCATGGTGTGTGCTCTGGTATGGCTTCAAGCCAGAGCTATCCGAGAAATTGTCACCACACTGATGGCAATGATGTGATGGGTCTCCACAGGAGGCTCTCTGGCATATCTCAAAGGCAATGCTTTCAGAATAGCAAGGGTAACAATCAGAACACTTCAAAGGTTGCTCCTCCACACTGTGACGTGATGCACGGGCTTCCAAATCCAGTGGGTCAGGGGAGGTTTCTTCACATTGCTGGCAGCTGTTAGCATGGCTCCTCTGATGGGTTGCAAGGTCAGAACTCTGGCAGAAGACCTCAGGACACACAGGGCACGTGTACCTTTCTTCTTCCATCCCTCCTACCCAATCACTTGCCTGCCCAGAGACCTCTGAGATCAGTTGAGATGTTTCTTCAACTGGCCGAGTGCTCTGATCTGCATCCAGAAGAGGAAGAACAGAGTGTTCTTCTGCAGCAGGATGTTTCCCATTGCCATTCCCATTAGAACAATGATTGTGGATGTGCTTGGCCAGGTCAGAACTGACCCCGAAACAGCACCCACACTCCCTGCAGAGATAGGGTTTTTCACCAGTGTGCGTTCGTCTGTGAGTGACGAGGGTGGACTTGCGCCCAAAGCACTTTCCACAGTCAGGACAGACATGCGGGCGTTCACCTGAGTGTGTACGCAAGTGGTGGGCCAGGGTGGAGCTCTGTGAGAAGCGTGCCTCACACTGAAGGCACCGAAAGGGCTTCTCCCCTGTGTGCACCCGCTGGTGCTCAGCCAGTGTGGAGCCACGGACAAAACGCTTCCCACATTCACCGCACACATGAGGGCGGCACCCTCCATGAGCCTTAAGATGCTCTGCCAACGAGGAGCTCCAGCTGAAGCCCCGGCCACATTCTGGGCATCGGAAAGGGCGCTCTCCTGTGTGGATCCGTTGATGTTTCACCAGGTTTGAACTCTGAGCAAATCCCTTTCCACACACTGAACAGTGGAATGGACGAAGGTCTGCTGTGGCAGATGCCTTGATAGCTTTTCCTTCCGAGATCACCCAGGGCCAAGCATAACTCTCTGGGCAAGGCCCTGTCTCTTTCTCATCAATGTCCTCCACCATCTCCTCCTCTTTATCCTCCTCACTTGGAGTGTCAGAATCTGGTGTGAAGAAGGAACTTTATTTATCATGGTGCCACCTGTTCAGGTGACTCTACAACTTACAATAAAAATGAAAACGCTGATAAACATACATCAATTAATAAGATAAAATTAAATAACCCATTTTTATCTGATTAAAGTTTCTTAACCAAAAGCTTTCTGAAAGAGAAGCGTCCTCATCTGTCTGGTGGCAGACCAAGAACGGCAACCAATTGATGTCAATCCCAAACTCATTGGCTTTCTGACTGTCTTTCCAGCTACTATATCACTGCAACTAATGGAAAGCTGTTGAGACATAAGCTGGCCTTCCTGTCTTGCTTAAGTGTTCTTTGGAGTGAGGCATCAGGGCGTCCAGCTATCCTGAAGGACTATCTCTGCTATGATATCTCATCCTGAGAATGCTCCAAAGTGAGGCACCAAAGCTAGCATGCCCTGAAGACCAGCAGGTGCTCAGAATGGTTAGGCTGGGAACTGCAGTTCCCTGTATCTGGAGAGATCTGATGGAAGAATCCTGCTCTGCAACAGACCGGCTCCCACCAAAAATAATAAATGGGTCCTTACCTGCTTGGACAATGGTCAGCTCTTGCCTGTCTCCTGCGTCTGGCAACTCCTCCTCTTGTTCCATCCAGAAGTGTGGTTCAGCCACTGAAAACCTAAATGAGAAGCCACTGACAGAGAGAACATTATACAGCACCGTCATCACACGAACCTGTCATAAAACAGAGAGGTTGGTTGGCCCAAAGGTCTAACAATGGCTCATTCCACAAATATCTTTAGAACCCAGAGTCATGCTTACCAGTCTTTAAATCAAATGAAAAATATCTATCATGGGTGGGCAATCTTTTAGTGGATGTCTTAACATCTGGCCAAGGAAAAAGATGCAAGGGATGCCAGGCAAGTAGAGCTCTATCATAGATATAAGGAACCTGGGATTTTCCACTTTCTCCAGTTTGGGCAAGGGACGAGGCCTTATGTTTTAGACCAGCGTTTCTCAATTTGGCAACTTTAAGGTGCCACACATCTTAAAGTTGCCAAGGTTGAGAAACACTGTTTTAGACAGTACTAAGTTTATTTTAGGATCTAGATTAGAATGGCCTTAAAAGAGGCTTTCCTGTACTCCCTAACTCAAAATTATGGGAAACTACACCACTGACTTTGGGGAGATAATGACAAAAGAGGGCTTGTCAGGGATTACAGGAATTGTATTTCAAAGGACCTGGAGAGTATCCTGCTGCTTACTCCTGAACTAGAATCTCCAAATAACTTTCAAGAGACTCTTCTCCACTTTTATCGTATGAAGAACTTCAAGGGCAAGGTGTCCTGCTTTAGAGGAAGCAGACTACTGTTGCAAATGCTTATGCCATAGTAAGAATATCAACCTTTGAAATGCCCCAAGACTAGCACGTGTTTCTCAACCTTGGCAACTTTAAGACATGTGGACTTCAACTCCCAGAATCCCCCAGCCAGCAAACACTTATTTAGACTAACCTTGTTACAATATGCTTTCTCAAGAAGATCCCCCTGCGTTGCTCAATAATCCTGCTCTCACACCTGCAACACTGTTGTCTGTTGGAGTATCAATGCCAGGAGAGTGAAATTTCTATCCTGTGAACCCCTGGACTCTCTTAGCCATCATTTTGCTTTTTCAAGGTCATACCACATCATTGCCTCTACTTTGCCTTAATGATGTTATTTGCTCTCTCCTGCTCCAACTACAAAACAGATAAAAGACATCTTAAACAAGTCAGAGAACAAAAATGCCCCCATACATTTTTTTCCCCCATTTTGCAAACTCACTTAAGACTCACTTCTGCTCCCCTGACTACCTACAGCTTTTTCTGTTTGGGGCTTCAGCTGAGAGAATCCTGTTCGCTGCCATCAATACCTTCAACTCAGGAGAAATGGTGCGTGCTACCTGCATTATCTACCAAGCTCCTTCAGTGTCATGCCATTTGTCTTATGTAGCTTTGCAGAGATTGAAGACCCAACGGTTTTCAGTGTGGGGTTCATTCATCAGGTTATAGCCTTACTGGATTATAAAGATGTGGGAGGGAGGAAAGGAGCATTTCACCTTGGCAGACCGGGATCTTGCTCCAAAGAGAAGGAAGCATTGCTTTCAGGTTTTACTGGGAAGTGTAGGTAAGAGGAGGATCCTACCTGCATGGGAGAAAATGGGAATTAATGTATGAAGACAGATAGTGACTGGGTTCAAACTGAACCCAGATAATAAAGAAAAATTGCCAGGCTTCTCCTGTGCAAGATACAGGTATTGGTCTATACAAGCAGTCTTCAGTTCTTTTCACACACCCTCCCCCCTCCCCCATACATCACCCCACCTGAGAGGAAACAGAATATGAGGAGACATAGACCAGCCTTCCTCAGCTTGATGGAAAGCACCTGTCTGATGTTCTCCAGAATCTTCAACTTATGGACCATTCTAGGACTTATCATCCAGCACAGATGAAGGGCACCAGATGAGCAAAGGGTAGCACAGACCCCAAAGAAGCAGACCCACATATCCAGAGGTCATAAGGTGGAGGGAATGGCATTCTAGGGAAGTGAATGTTGGAACTTTTAAGAACTCCCCCCAATCTGCCACCTGCCCCCATCGCCAGACAACACAGACAGGCTGCAGATGTTAGGGGCCAGCACAGACTACCCTTTCTGGTGCACCAGATCAGAGAGACTTTGCCCATTTTAAAGGGAGCGGCAGTATTAGAATCGGGGTGATGCATCCCTCACACACACCGACACGCGATGGGAAAGAAAACTGAACTCTCAGCGGTCTTCAGTGCCTCCTGTGTGTCCTAAGGGCACTCCTACCACCACCACCACCACGCGCAGAGTCCAGTTTTAGGCCTAAAAGGGAAACTCTTCTGGGGGGCCCTGCGTGCTTAAGAACCTCTCCTGGCCCTCCTTCAAATCCTCCTATTCCTTCTTGATCACACCTCAGCATAAAAATCGACCTTCCCTCCGAAGCCTCCTGCCAGGACTGTTTATCCCCCACGCCACCCCCGACCTGGATCTGCCTGGCAGGACGCTGCCCTCTCCAAACGCCACCGTCCCCAAGCCCAGCCAGGGCGCAGCTTCCCCAAGCAGCCCGGAGGCGCGCCTTGTCTCCTCCCTGCTCCAGGGCGCGTCTTTCTGACCCTGGGCCGCCTCCTCCTCCCCACCCCTGAGCCGGGACCTTGGCTCCGCATCTCCCTGCCCGCCCCCTCGGGGAGTGCATGGCCCGGTCTTCTGCGGACCGCGCCGGGCTGCACGCGCAAGCCTCAGCGCTGCAGGCGGTCAACCAGATATGACCTCCGCTGTCTTTCCCACATTTCTCCCCTTTCCCCGCAGCTCAGATCCCCTTACCGTCTCCATAGCCCGCCCCGCTGTCTCTGCCCCCCCCGTACTGCCCGCAGCACGCGCGGGGTTAAGCCTGGTAGACAATATACCGCCAGGCCCAGCTCCGCCCCCAGCGCCTTCTTCTGCCC